ACATTAACATCCTGTGGCGCAGATGCTGGTGCTAAGAAAGTCATCAATATACCGGGTTTGAAGCACGGAATGGATACTTACGCTCAGTGCTTTAAGTGTTATTTGTTAAAACTCACTAGTTTTGTCCTTGATCAGCTGGGGCTGGGTTGCACGAGAGTAATCCCCAGGGCCGCCATCGTTGACAGCGGCAACTCGGAACTCGACTTCCTTGCCAAATGGGAGGCCGGCGATTTTGGCTTGAGTCTCTTTAACCAGGTCGGGTGTGGCCTTCACCCAATCGCCTTTGTCGGTACGTTTCTCAACCAGATATCCTGCAATCGAAGGATGGATGGTTATAAGTAATGCAAAACCTATTTTTACGTTAACTTTCGGCCAAGAATTCCCCATACATTTACGATTCAACGTGCGCAACGAAAATTTGATATATTGACGATGATCATGATCATGGTGATGGGGACGATGAAACCCAAGATTCGGCGTATTTTGAAATTTACGACACTCAACAATTAGTTTCTTCTCTGATCGTGACTTGTAACTGGTTACTTCTCAAGATTTTCGAAGTAACTATAGCCTTTCCGCTATGAAGAGACGTCTCGTTGACAAACGTGTGATTCACAAGCATTGTGAGGTAGATTAACAACAGGAAGTAAAAAAATCTAGTAAAATATAGTAAAAAATGTTAAAATGTATGAAAAATGTAGGAAGTATAAAATGTATGTTTCCTTCCACATTTACCCGAAGTGAAAATGTAAGCCGTTATTTTCAAATTTAATGAGTTTCATCGCACAATGTAAACAGGTGACATTGATCTGTAACATTTTGGCAATACATGTAGACCGAAAGATTAAAATCAGACTTTTACCTTTGATAGGATTCCCACCATCGTTTTCGGGAGCAGTCCAGGTGATCGTAGCGGAGCTTCGATCGTAGTCTACCACCTTAACAGACTGTGGTGCGTCAGGTGTGTCTAAGAAGGCAATGTAGAATAGTCTAGTTATTGAGTACAGACAAAGAACCACTTAACATTTTATTTTCTCGGAAAATCAGTTAAGTATGTCCAGGTATTACATTGGGGAAAGTAGTTTATTACCAAAGATTCCATAGCAGCAATCATAAAGGCAATTTTCTCTTCCCGACACACAAATATCACGTCTTCATGGACACTACAGCCTGCATTCTATCGATTCCAAATAACATTAAAACAGTTTGCACCCAGCGTTCATTTTTCCTTCGGTCAATTTTAAGAAAAGTCTCGAAGGGTCAAAAGCGATTTCAGCGACTCACCGAAGGGATTCTTGGCGAGTGTCGATGTAAGCGTTTCAGCAGGTTCCGAGGGGCCAATGGGATTCACAGCAGTCACTCGGAACAGGTACCTTTTGCCCTCTGTTAGACCTGTCACAGGCAAGGAATTGCCACGCGCTATGCCAGGAACTGGTTCCCAAATGCCCAGGGCTTCATCGCACTTCTCCACGATGTAGTCTGAGTTAGAAAGAGACAGCAAGAAGGTTAGACTTATTCCTTTAATTGGCTCTAAAGTATCGCTCGATAACATAAGCATCAGAGCTCAGCCAAGCCTTCAGGTAAAATGGGAATAAGTGGTAAACGAAACTGTCAGAGAGGGGGTCTATTCCACTGCTTCACGAGCCCCTTTATGGAGCAGGTAAGAGGACAAGAAAAGATATTGGAGCGGATAATAGCTACGAAGGGTCTTCTTTTTGCCAGTTTCAATTATGCGTATTAACAGGTACCGCGCACATGAATTGCAGTCACGGGGATGGTGAAATATACATTTTTACATTTTAGAAAGGCAGCACTAATTCCTAGAATAAAAAGTAGCGTTCACCGACACCATGAAGTGGTCGGTCGGCAAACTGCTCCAGGAGTCAAAGCACACACACGTTGCGGCTTAGCGACCTACGGCAGAGATTAAACAAAACGGTAATCTGAATGATTAAACCCGGATTTCATGGTGGTCCCAAAGCCCTTTGGTAGCGATCCATCGTGGGGCCGCCAAATTTATGAAGTCCCCTGCCCAAGTTTCTCCCGGAAATCGTTGCTAAATGGTTAATGCTTGATTAAGGCATAGGTAATGCAGGCACAGTATAAAATAAATTAAAGCCACTTTTAATTGTTTGCTGAACTAAAAATATATACGAAAAGCATCAGGAAATAATAGGACCGACCAACATAAACGCCTACTGCTCACAAAAGGATGCCTATTGACCAATAATAATATAAGAGCAACTCCTATTGATAAACATAATGAAGGAAGGGGTTGGATAGGCCGAAATTCGAACTAATGAACGGATGTATGTAAGTGGTGATTGTCAATACCAACCCTCAAAGGACCTCCCTATGGAGCTCTGCGAACCTTTTTGTATTTTTATTAGTCACACACACAAGTCATTAAGCGCATGCCGTTCTAGGAATACCTGTTATTGGCGCACCACCATCTGATTTTGGAGGATTCCATTTGACAGTGCAAGAGTTGGCCATCACGTCATCAACCGTGACATCTTCAGGAGAATCTGGCTTTACTAAAAAGGTAAAGTGAAAGGTAATTAGATTGCTTATAATTTTTTTCCCAAAAGCACCTTCATGAATCTGTTTCCGGTTCATCATTATTCAAACGGTTATATCCCAAGTAAACTGAAAATGTTGTGGAGTAAGATCATGAAAAAAAGGAACAGAGAACTTGTAATTTTGAAGACCTGTAGATTTGCCTCTTGTATGTTATAGCATAATATCTGCTTAGCTCCCACAGCTAGACCTATTTTCCCCAACAAGACTCTAATTCACTGAATGCTTATCGAGGAGCTTACCCTTCTTTTTGGCGACTCTCGTGGCGTCACAAGGCAAACTAGGTTCGCCAGGACCTGCTGCATTTACGGCTCGCACACGGAACTCATAGACCTCATTCTCGTCCAAATTTTCGACTCGAGCCTGAGTGCCTGATACTGGTTTACCGTCAGCAGTTGCGGGGACCCAGTCATCAGTGCCCAGCTTGCGTTTCTCGACCGCATAACCGGTGATACGGGCACCTCCGTCCTTAAGTGGCGCTGTCCATGACAGGTCGACATGGTCCTTGTCCACGTCATCGACATTTGGCGTTCCAGGTGCGTCAGGAGCGTCTGGAAGACAAAATCCGCAAGAAGGGAATTAGTAGGAGTAGCTCGCAACAACTCGGTCCGGTGTAAACTAATCGCACAGGAATGAGAAAAAACAATGAAAAGACAGGCACCTCACGGGCAGCCAAGCTATTGGGGGACCACAAATTGGTGACTTTGCTATAATACTGAGAAGCAGGCCACTTATCTCCCCTTTGAGAAGCAACCGCTTTCTGGTTAAAAGCAGTAATATTCTCTTTTTGTCGATCTTTTATAGACGTTATCTATATTTGTTTGGTTGGACTTCAAAGCTTATTTAAGCCTTGTCTTGGATCAAAGTTTTTATTTTCTAAGGAATTTTGGCGAACTTCTCCCTTCTTCCAGTAGATGGCGGTTGGGCATCTCGAAAGCCGGCTCGAATTTATTTGAAACCCGAAAGATTATAAGGAGGCCGTCACTGGAATCTCGGTGCGTGAGAGAAATAATAGGTACTCGCCGAATCGAAAATTACTCACCGTATTTCGGTTTGCAGAGGATGGCACGATTAGTCTGCGCGGGCTCTCCAATGCCGGCTTCATTCTTCGCGGACACACGGAATAAGTATTTCTCCCCCTTTGTTAGGCCAGTCACTGAAAGGAAACGTGGGCAGTGGGTGATAACTTGGCAACTCAAACAACTAAACTTGAAATTATGAGACAAGTGAGACGATGACTTTTTTATGCTAAAACGCTGGGACAGTGGAGAGTATTAGAAGCCTTACCGGTTCCCTGGGTATCCTTGCCGCCAGCTCCAGCAGCCTTTGTCCAGTCACCTCCGCTAAACGGTTTGTACTCGATAACATAACCACTGATCTTTCCGCCACCATCTTTTCGAGGCTTCTTCCAGCTCAGCGTAACGCTGTCTTCGTCCACGTCAGTCGCCTCTAGATCCGAGGGAGCTCCAGGAGCGACTACAAGATACCAAGCAAGTCAATAAATGAATTAGACAGCAGGTTGGTTAACGGCAGCAAAGGGCTGAGAAAACTGTGGGGCATATTTCGGTTTATCTGGCCGCCGCTTTAACTTATCCCATTGTTATCTGCACCACTTTTCAGCCTATAATTGATAGAGTTAGGACAATGCAGCTTAGTGATTTTATCCATAAGCGACACTGAAATAAACAGTTGAGCATCCTGTTGGCACGATGCTGACTGTCGTTAAGAAGCAAGTGGCTAGATAAAGTAGAAAAGCGAATTTTTCCGAATATCAAATATCCTTCTTTATATTCGTTTCAAAAACTAGAAGGTATGCAAACATTTGACTCCGTATTTCAGAAAGATAAAAACATGAATTGTTTCGGAAGTCGGCCTTGGACTTCCATCCACACTTGAGACAATAGGGAGGTGCGTTTCTTAAGTACCCCTTATTCATGAAGGAAAAGGCCAAATCAAGTGCACGTGCTGGCAATTAAGCGGGACGCAAGTCACAGTGGCAAGGCATATAGCACAAAAATCAGACTTTTGCCGAAAACTTCGATTACGAACTACACGATACAAAAGACAGCTCCGCTAAACTTATAACAGGCCCACGATGTCAAACAGCAAGCTAACTACAAAGCATTTTACGAATCAAGATCCCATATGATCAATTAATTTCTGATCGAAACATCTAGTTTCGAGCACTTAGTGTTGCCGGCAAAGACAAGGGAGGCTGGAATGGTCATTTCTGACTTATTAGCCGTCGTCAGCCAGTCTCCTTTGTCTTTGCCAGCAATACTATCTGCCCATACTACTAGCTGCTACAGATGCTGTCAGGACCTGTGAAATGAGGCCCAAGGCAAGGGTGGAGGGAGACAAGTGAGTCCCGTTAGCGGTCAGTGAACGTTCACCCACGAGTAAGGAGCACTGTTAACGGTGATTTCGAGACACTATAAGTAAGATTAGACGTGGTCACGGGATACTTACCAATCGGGTTAGCTGCAGTGATGCTCTGGGTAGCCTCCAGTGGTTCACCAGGTCCAAATTCATTCGCAGCTCGGACTCTGAATCGGTACTGTCGGCCCTCATCCAACCCGGTTACGTCAAACTCGGGTTGCCGAACGAAACTGCTCACAGGAGTCCATATCCCAGATGAAACGTCCTGTTTCTCGACGACATAGTTTGTAACCGGAGAGCCACCATTGTCCTGTAAGTATAAATCATAGGAGTATCGTCAATTCTGCATTGAAATTATCATCAATGGTTACCCTAAATTATGCTACTTTCCTCTGGCCTGTTTGTGTCACTGTTAAGGAATTTAAAAGTGCACG